GGGGGGGGGGGGGGGGGGGGCAAGGGTTGATAGCGCGGAGATCTTGATTGGTATGATTGTAAAAGGTCTGCAATAGTAGTCTTGCGACCATTCTACCGATCTACGAGTCCTCTCTGTCTGTCTGTCTGTCTGTCCGTCTGTCTCTCTCTGTCTGTCTCTCTCTGTCTCTCTCTCGTGTCGGGATATTTCGCCACTCGTGAGCTAGTAGCTCACTTCGCGGCATTTCATCATCGCCATCACCACCTCCTTTACTAACCCGCTGGCTGGCAACTTCTCCCCCATCCTTGAAGCAATTGACGTGCGGCACTCACGATTTATTCCCATGCATTTCCTAAACTATTCAAGCGGAGGGACGTATCCATTTACAAGAGAACCGTTGTCGGGAAGCTTCCGCCGAACGTTGTGCTCCACCTGAGCTGTTTTCAAGATGAACCTTGACACCTTCCAGACCGACAAGGTTAACACGCGGTTCGACTTCCCCGCCCGACTGAACCTAGAGCCCTTCGTCAAAGACGTGAGGTGGGCATGGCGTGGCTGCCCTCGAGGGCCTTTGCTCTCGAGGGCGTGAACAGAAGTTGAAGTAGTAGCCTGACCCTGCTGGGAACGAGTGTTATACTTCGAGTCGACCTTGCATCTATCGTTTCGCAGAGTAGTTCCGGGCGGCAGCAAACAAGTGTGAATTCCCGGAGAAGCAATATTTGGTGTTGTACGGCCACGCTTCTTTCTCACCTATCGGTAGTACGCTTGGTCGTATCGATGAATGTAGTTTCAACGTTGGCGATTGAGCGTCTGCTTTCTTACACAAGTAGCGGGTCTTCTTATGGCTGTCTGCTGTTGTTGTTTTGATTTATTCTTTGCTTAACGTCGGCGTCCACCCGAAAAAATATCGTGGGCGAATCGCTGCAGGTCCCCATGAAAGCTTACAATACCTTCTCTCGTCCACACGCCCCCCTCCTTTCTGGTGCGATTCTTGTGCAATATGATAGGACTTGGCTTGGCGACGCGGGCCGGAGGACGCTAAGGTAAGAGTCGACTGATTGCCGATACAACACAAAAAAATAGTCATGCCGCGGAAATTATTCTCGACTAAATTTGCCATGGTGGAAGTGCCCGGCCGTGTCTATGTGAGCGGACACGGCAGTCTTTGCCCGACAGCGGGGTGGTCGCCGTCGCACGATGCAACACAGAGTTAGACACATCTCGTGTGTGCTCGATTCGAAAATCATTGGTATCATTTAACGGCTTGTTGCAGAAGTGGATTCTCCCAAACGGCAAATTGCGACAACGTTCGTCTGAACGCCCCGTCTATACCGGCTTGCGCGATGACACTTGGCACAGAGGCTTGGTTTGCGGGGACCGTACGAAGTCCGCCCTCGCTCGTACCGCGCCTACGGTAGTGGTTCACACGGCAGGCTTGGACGGCCAGCAGGCGAGGGGGGGATCTGGGGGGGGCTCACAGCGGAGCGGTGCGAGTTCAATGATACCGTGGTGAAGGGGTGGGCCGTGGCGGGGTGGAGAGCGAGCGGGCCGGGGAGAGGCCGGGGAAGGTGTTATTAATAGGACAGGATTGGCGGGGTGTCGGCGGGTTGCTTTGTTTGGCGGTGCTGCAGATCCTACAGGTGATAACAAGCAGCTGAGCGCACAAGCAACCAAGCGTGAGCTTGCTGGGGTGACCATGGTCGGGTTAGTGCGAGGCGATCACCTCCGGCTCCCGCACCCGGCGCGGGGCAGGAGGTGTGTCCGTGTGACAATGATCCATACTTGTAGCGCAATCCTGTGGTTTTGTAGGCGAGAATACGATTCGGTCTGGAAATTTGGGCTTGGTAACACGAAAAGCAACAAGCAAGCAAAGGCTGGTAAGAGGTAGTGCTAGAAAGCACACCTAGGTTTACACCGAGGTTGGTAAGAGTGTTGTTCAGTCGATCATGACTTTCGCCCCACCCTGCCCAGGCCCACTGCCGTCATCCAGTCTCCCTTCACCCGCCCCGACTGCCGACTGCTGTGCCGGTGCATACACCTGACGTTCTTCTCCCCGCCACTCGTTATTTTTGTTTATGTGCGACCTGTCTCACTTGGTCAACATGCGAAAGGCGTACAGAAGGATTTTTCGTTCGACACCCTATAATCTGCCATGTGTTGAGCCAATTGTTCATATCCGTCTGTTTCCTTGTCGTTCTTCTTTTGGCGGCGCACAGCCCGTGTCTACCATTCTGCGTCGAGCGGCAGTCAGGGACACAAAGGAGACCTTGATGGTCGAATGGGACTCTTTTGTCTGTTTTTGTCTCGCGGCAACCCCCTCTCGCCCATAACCCCATTTCGATTCCCTCCCGCCGCTTCTCTTTCCGTACTGTGTATCGGCGTTGCTGTGTTACCGTGTAGAGGTCTACGATAAGACGATGGAACAAGTGTGGACTCGCCGAGTGGCTTGGTCGTTCCGGTACCCCGGAACGTCGAGGGCATGGGTGAGTTGGACAGCGCACAAACCACGTGGTACAGAGGGCGCCCGCACTTTTGAGGACGTCGGAAATTTTGGGCGAGGGTGGGGGTTCTTCTGGGCTACAGATGGCTGCTATGTAAGTTTTTAGTGTCGGGGTTACTAACCGGGCTCACAACTGGTGTTCATGTTCCCATGTTGTGATGTGTTGTTGAGCATGAACCTCTTAATTGCCAAGTTTTTAAAAGGGCGGTGGTTATCTGGGTTACTATCTCCGTTTCCATGCTATCCGTGTCGCACTTGGAGTGATGGCCCCGTGCCGAAGATGTCGTGGAAAACATGCTCCAGCCATTTCGCAAAGCGCGGGTGGTGGTTTCGTGGCGCAGGCTGTGCAGCGGGGGACGCGCTGACAAGGGTTTGTTCGTGGGCACGCAGGACGCATCGTCGATGGATATAGCGGGGGGAGGAGGGACAGAGAACACCACACAGGCACGCAGGCATACCTCTGGTCCTAGTTCGTGCCCATGGTCGCACGCTATTCAAGGCCGACTGGGTCGTTTCTTTGCACAAGCGCCCAACCCTGCACCCTGCGTGTATCTAATCGCACCCCCCGCCCCTCGCGGTCGCAATATCCCCCCGTTGCCAACTCTCGCAACTTTTCATGTCGCTAATATTGACGTATACCGCGCTGCTTTGTCTTCGTCCCTGCGCTGATGTTCCCCGTGCTTGCATCCACACGTACCATGGCAATAAAACGGACGGTGGGTATACCCAGGCTTGGGTCGGGAGCTCCGGCTTGGCGAGACCGCGGAGGTTGCCGGCGCCGCGGCAGAAGGGCGGGCTATTGAGTCCGGGGCCGTTATCGCCGGCCTTCGGGACGAGGCGGTTGGGCTGGGAGTTCGGCTGAGGGAGGGGGGGGGGGGGCGGGGGCGTGCGAACCGGAAGAAACCCTCCAGGGTCTCCTGGGGACGGCGGAAGCGGGTCGCCCCTGTTCCTGGGATGGCGGAGGCGGCAAGGGCCGGGGCGAGTGGGGAGTTGGTGGAGGGTTAGGAGGCTCCCCGAGGACGCGGAGGCTAGGGTAGTGGGAGAGCTTGGAGCCCCCCGTGGCTGGGTGGTGTTTTGGTGGGCCTTTTCGACACGCCGTTTACCGTTGTTGTTGCTTTGCTGGGTGTTTAGGGGGAAGGACTCATTGTTGACGTGCCGTTTAAGGTTGTTTTTAAGACTATGTACCCGGGGAGACATTTTCGTTTTTTTCTCCTGTCGTCGCGATGCGGTAAAAGCTCTTCCGGTGTTGCACTTTTCTCGGCGGATCAGTCTCGTAACAACGACGTGTGCACAACAAAGTTTGGGTTCTTCCGACTACGGTCACCGGTGGAACTCAACACGGTCGCTCGTCCCAGAAGGACATCGGGAGAGCAATTATGTCACGAATTGCAGCTGTGTGTTGGCTGCGCGAGAGCAATAAGCGAATGACGCATGACAATGAGTCCGAGAATCGTCCGCGGGCGCAACACTCGAATCATTCGAGTTCGGGTACCGTGCTCGACATCATACTCTCGTCCGACCTGAGTTTGATTGGTCAATGTGTGTGTTTGTGTTTTCGTCCTATTTATTTTTGGCGACAGTTCCGCCATGTTTCGTGGTGAGACGTGTACTACACTTCTCAGTGTACTTTTTCGTACAACTACAACCATTCAGGGTCACACGGGTGGGGGCAAACACCAGGGCCTTTTCTTCTCTTTATTTATTATTGTAAGGAGGAGAAGACGCGTCACGAACGCCACCGCACGACCGGCGACCACTCGTCTCGACGTCTCCAGGCTCCCGCGTGCTCTTGGCTCAAGGGAATGATGCTGCGGCTATCGGGTCTTGTCATCGATCGGTGTGGTTTCTAGGAGTGAATCGGTTGGATAGAGGGTGCGTGTGTTGTTCCCATGCGAGATGAAGGGAGGAGGAGGAGAGACAGATCGACGGAGTTGTCGTCAAAGATTCATCCCTTGGTGACGAGTTACCTGCTGATAGGAGTGTCTTGTTTGGATACGTACCCGGGTATAGTTTGGGTATTTACTCGGGTATGTACCCGTACCGACACCCTGGGTAGGTTGGGTAGGACTGTCGTACCCATACCCAAACTCTGGGTACGTTGGGAACGACTCTCGTACCCGTACCCAAATTCTGGATACGTTGGGTACAGCACCAGTACCCATACCCAAACTCTGGGTACCGTATCTACCCGACCTGGTTATCTACCCGCCTACACACCCGGTGGATAACTGGTGACGTCATCGAACCTGCGCTCGGGGCATTTCTGCGGGCCATTTTTCAACCTGGAATGTGATTGGTCAGCGAGATGCGTGAATGGGCGAACCGAAAGTGCGAACAAGCGGATATATATCTATGTTTCTCTCTATCTGGGGCCACAGGAATACCTAAACGTTGACGCTGGCGACCCTCATATCGGCAATCAATCGTGATTATTTTCGCCCAGGGGAGAAAAAGAAGATGAACTCGTACGCCGACGGGGGGAGCAAGATCGAACGCAACCCTCCACCAAAAGAACGGTTTACGGTCGAACGGTGTACGGTTTACGGTTTACGGTCGTACGGTTTACGGTTTACGGTTTACGGTTTACGGTTCACGGTCGTACGGTTTACGGTCGTACGGTTTACGGTTCACGGTCGTACGGTTTACGGTCGTGCGGTTTACGGTTTACGGTTTACGGTTTACGGTTCACGGTCGTACGGTTCACGGTCGTACGGTTTACGGTTCACGGTCGTACGGTTAACGGTCGTACGGTTTACGGTTTACGGTCGTACGGTCGTACGGTTTACGGTCGTACGGTCGTAGGGTTAGGGTTAGGGTTGTATTGACAATTTTTCTCCACTATAAAGAATTTGCTTGTTGCGATTTTTCAAACACTCACCCACACGTGCGCTCTGAGCACCACAAAAAAGACGGAACCACTTTTCATGCATAGGGGCTCGAGAAATATGCGGTTGAAGCACCGCTGCCTCACGCCCATTGCTTCCCCCACACTTGGACCATTTCGCTGCGTCCGTTTGGGCTTGTATTGACAATTTTTCTCCACTATAAAGAATTTGCTTGTTGCGATTTTTCAAACACTCACCCACACGTGCGCTCTGAGCACCACAAAAAAGACGGAACCACTTTACATGCAGAGGGGCTCGAGAAATAAGCGGTTGAGCACCGCTGCCTCACGGCCATTGCTTCCCCCACACTTGGACCATTTCGCTGCGTCCGTTTGGGCTTGTATTGACCAATTTTCTCCACTATAAAGAATTTCCTTGTTTCGATTTTTCAAACACTCACCCAGACGGGCTGAGGGTTAGGGTTAGGGCCCCCTTTTTGTCACGTGTCACAGAAAACAGGGTTGGAGATTCAAAACAAGATCTCAGATTGAAACGCTGTTTGCACGGTGTATGCCTTGGCTTAGGGCCCCCATTTTGTCACGTGTCACAGAAAACAGGGTTGGAGATTGAAAAAAAGGTTGGGGATTGAATCCCTGTTTTCACTGAATATGCCTTGGGTTAGGGCCCCCATTTTATCACGTGTCACAGAAAACAGGGTTGGAGATGCAAAACAGGATCTCAGATTGAAACGCTGTTTTCTTGGTGCATGCCTTGGCTTAGGGCCCCCTTTTTGTCACGTGTCACAGAAAACAGGGTTGGAGATGCAAAACAGGATCACAGATTGAAACGCTGTTTGCCCAGTGTATGCCTTGGCTTAGGGCCCCCTTTTTGTCACGTGTCACAGAAAACAGGGTTGGAGATGCAAAACAGGATCTCAGATTGAAACGCTGTTTTCTTGGTGCATGCCTTGGCTTAGGGCCCCCTTTTTGTCACGTGTCACAGAAAACAGGGTTGGAGATGCAAAACAGGATCACAGATTGAAACGCTGTTTGCCCAGTGTATGCCTTGGCTTAGGGCCCCCTTTTTGTCACGTGTCACAGAAAACAGGGTTGGAGATTCAAAACAGGATCTCAGATTGAAACGCTGTTTTCCCAGTGTACGCCTTGGCTTAGGGCCCCCTTTTTGTCACGTGTCACAGAAAACAGGGTTGGAGATGCAAAACAGGATCTCAGATTGAAACGCTGTTTTCCCAGTGTATGCCTTGGCTTAGGGCCCCCTTTTTGTCACGTGTCACAGAAAACAGGGTTGGAGATGCAAAACAGGATCTCAGATTGAAACGCTGTTTTCCCAGTGTATGCCTTGGCTTAGGGCCCTCTTCTTGTCACGTGTCACAGAAAACAGGGTTGGAGATGCAAAACAGGATCTCAGATTGAAACGCTGTTTGCACGGTGTATGCCTTGGGTTGGGGCCCCCTTTTTGTCACGTGTCACAGAAAACAGGGTTGGAGATTCAAAACAGGATCTCCGATTGAAACGCTGTTTTCTTGGTGTATGCCTTGGCTTAGGGCCCCCATTTTGTCACGTGTCACAGAAAACAGGGTTGGAGATTCAAAACAGGATATCAGACAGAAACGCTGTTTTCATGGTGAATGCCTTGGGTTAGGGGTTAGGGTTAGGGCCCCCTTTTTGTCACGTGTCACAGAAAACAGGGTTAGAGATTCAAAACAGGATCTCAGATTGAAACGCTGTTTTCTTGGTGTATGCCTTGGGTTAGGGCCCTCTTTTTGTCACGTGTTAGGGCCCCCTTTTTGTCACGTGTCGCAGAAAACAGGGTTGGAGATTCAAAACAAGATCTCAGATTGAAACGCTGTTTGCACGGTGTATGCCTTGGCTTAGGGCCCCCTTTTTGTCACGTGTCACAGAAAACAGGGTTGGAGATTCAAACCAGGGTTGGAGATTGAAAGGGTTAGGGTTAGGGCCCCCATTTTGTCACGTGTCACAGAAAACAGGGTTGGAGATTCAAAACAAGATCTCAGATTGAAACGCTGTTGGCACGGTGTATGCCTTGGGTTAGGGCCCCCTTTTTGTCACGTGTCATAGAAAACAGGGTTAGAGATTCAAAACAGGATCTCAGATTGAAACGCTGTTTTCTTGGTGTATGCCTTATGTTAGGGCCCTCTTTTTGTCACGTGTTAGGGCCCCCTTTTTGTCACGTGTCACAGAAAACAGGGTTGGAGATTCAAAACAAGATCTAAGATTGAAACGCTGTTTGCACGGTGTATGCCTTGGCTTAGGGCCCCCTTTTTGTCACGTGTCACAGACAACAGGGTTGGAGATTCGAACCAGGGTTGGGGATTGAAAGGGTTAGGGTTAGGGCCCCCCATTTTGTCACGTGTCACAGAAAACAGGGTTGGAGATGCAAAACAGGATCTCAGATTGAAAACCTGTTTTCTTGGTGTATGCCTTGGGTTAAGGCCCCCAT